GGGGCTTCTGGCAGGGGAACGTGAGGAGAGGGAGTGGGCTCAGTGGCCCAGGTTCTCCTGGCCGTGGGTGCCCCCGTGGCCAGGGTGAGGCTCCTACACTGAGGAGAGTGTATGTAATGTAGACAGGGACAGGGTTGGGCTCCCCTGCCTGTCCAACACTGGAAGGTCTGGGCACCATCACTGGGTCTGCGAAGTAAAGCAAAGATCGGGCCTTCTCCTAAGCCCTTGTACTTGGGGCATTCTGCATAGCACAGAGGTGCTATCTCCCATCCCTACTCGATGCCCCACCAGCACCCCACCAGCCTGCACTGCAGGTCTTAAGATGCTTTCAGCAGGGGCAAGGGGGACACAGCAAGACCACTTAACTGTCGTGGGCACCTTCACTCCTCGCTAAGGATAGTTCCAGTGTCCTGCTGCTGGGATGGCATTTTGGTGCCCCTCCATCCATGCGCCCTTGATTTGGCACAAGGCCCGGCTGCTCCAGGACCAAGACCTACCTCAGAGCTGCAACAAGAGGCAACCAACTCTGCAGCAGGTGAGCCACCGGCAGGATGTGGCGAGGGGCTAGGGTGGATCTGCTGGTGTTAGAGATATCCCTTCAGAGACAAAAGGCGGTGAGGGCAGTGTCCCAAATGAGGCCATTTCAGCTGGAAGCCAGGGCCAGGCCCACGCAAGGGGAAGCAGCTGTGGGGGGAGGTGCCTGTGACTGCACTGCCTGCTGCGGGAGGAGGTGGCAGCGCCACTGAGAGGCCAGAGGGACCCTGATCCGCCTGTGGCCCTTCCGGGAGGTGCTGCTCCACACATACCAGGGGTAGGTGAATCGGCCTGGCGTGTGGGGCTGGTGCCTGAGATGGAGCAGTTTGGACAGAGTACAAACAACTGGGGAAATGCCACAGGAGGGGACCGCCTGGGAGCTGGAGAAACAGGAAGGCCCCAGGTTTGAAAACCACAATGCAGTTTGGCTAAGTGCTTGCTGGTCTTGAATTTGGTGAAGTACGCACTGAGTGCCTGACATCTAGCAGGAAAGGAGCCAAAAGATTCTGTGATGGAGGAAGAGGTTTCTGCCCCTGCAAAGGGAGCTCTGGACTGAAGCCCAGACCTCCAGGAGGGTCTCGGATGAGGACTGAGCTGTTCCCTGCCCCCAACCCCAACCCATGGGCTACAATAACTTGATGCAGAAAGGATCTGTTCTCCTGGCTGGAGATGGATAATCTGACACGTGACACAGAAACCAATAGTCTCTGATTAAAAGGGCTGGAAGGAACTAAAAATTAAACGAAACATGAAGCCTTTGGTTATAGAGTTTAGGAAGCAACCAATTTCTGTCAGGATGCAGAGGGTGGAGGGAGGTGGGTGACTCAATTAACATGTTAATAAGTAGTATAAGTAGAAACAATGGAATATGGCTAAAAAAGTACATGAAAAGGTTCTGATGGGTGGGGGTGTACCTTCCTGAATGCGGCTAAAAATACATCGTTCTGAGATGTCGTTGACACAGGCAAAGATGCCAAGTTCTTTTCCCATCCTCAGACTCCAGGATGGGTATTCGAGTTTTTTTCCAGCTCTGATGCTTAACCATCTAAGGGAGCTCTGAGAAGCATCAATGAACATTTCCAAGAGCATCTCCTGAGTTGTTACTGGTGCTGACTGGTGTTCTGAGTGCACAGGTTTCAAGTTTGTGCAATAAGATAAAAAGTGAAAATTCCCCCGGCATGTGAATGCACCCCCCAGTTCTCTGAGATACTCTCTGAGGAACAAAGGAATAAAATAAGAATCTATAAATTTCTGCCACATTTTGCCTAGGTCTTTGGTTCAACCCACATATTTCTCAGCATGTTGTAGAAGTACTTCAAATCAGGGCTCCTAAGATAATACAGGGCATCCCCAAAAATGTATACACACACTCTGAATAATTAAAAGGCAGTGTTTATTAAAATACACTTTATTTTCAAAATTGAGCTATCAGCTGTGAAAGTGTGTATGCACTTCTGTGTGGCACCCTGTAAATAGAGATGAGTTTTAAGAGTCTTACTAATCATACACAGAATTTCACATGACTACATTTTAAAGCTGACACTGTCTTCTTAAATATGCCACCAGATTAAAGAATCCCCCTTATAGACCATCCATTCACACTAGAGACATAGTTGTAAGGCAATACCGAATTACAACTGTAAAACATCACCCTCATATGGGCACTATAAAATAGTTAGCCCCAGCTGGTTTGGCTCAGTGGATAGAGCGTCGGTCTGCAGACTGAAGGGTTCCAGGTTCGGTTCCCAAGGGCACATGCCGGGGTTGCGGGCTCAATCCCTCCCAGTAGGGGGCATGCAGGAGGCATTCGGTCAACGATTCTCTCTCATCATTGATATTTCTGTCTATCCCTCTCCCTTCCTCTCTGAAATCAATAAAAATATATTTAAAAAAAGTAGTTAAAAAGCATTTTATTTAGATTTTCTTCCATTTTCTGCTACAGCTGAGGATATTTAAGTTTGGAGAAGCGTTTTTATTCTCATCATTTGGATCTTCTGTTTGATATTGGTTCAAAATAGCAATTCATTGTTTATTTCTCATCTATTTCTGCTCCTCTTCTAAAATAACTTAAAAGTCACAGAGTTCTTATGTCCATGGAATTGATCATGAAAAGGGATAAGGAAGGGATCATGAAGAGATGATTTATTTAAAAATCATTTACTTTTAACATATACATTTATTTAAATATATTTAATATCATCTCTGTGAAAAATTTACCAAGTTGGAACTCTCAAGGTAAGTAAAAACCTTTTCTGTGTTATTGAAATTGATTTCAAGATACGTATTTTCATGATATAAAAATACTATGGAGTGACAAAGAGCAGCAGGGTTTAGATCCACGCTGCTTATATAACCCCGCAGAAACCCTATTTTGTTTAATCTGACCTTTTCTCCTTTTTCCCACCCCTTTTGATTAAAACTGGCCTCACCCAAAAGTCTGACTTAGCCACCTTCCTCTCCCTAAAACAAGCCCCCCGCCTCCTCCTTAATCACTGAGCCCTCAGAACAAGGCTCTGGTTGGCGTCAAACAAGATGGAACATCCACTGACTAAACCCTGGGGAAACCAGCCAGAATGCCATGCTGACATCAGGACCAGTGCAATGACCAATTACCCACTACCCTAGCAGCAGCCAACTGAGCTTCGGACCACACCAGGTCCAGCAATCATGGCCAAGAGAAACACCGTCTGTCCTGTTCCATATGGTTGTAGAAAAACCATCCAGCTGTAGAAACATGAACCTAGGTAAACCAGGCAGGCATTTTATTAATGCCAGTCAGCCGATTAAAAAAATGAAAGGGGCTTGCCCATCAGTTTGCTCAATGCCAAATGGCTAGTGGCTTTTTGTCAAAAGTACTCAAAGTCTTGAGTTTTGGATTTTGGCTGCAGAAATGCCTCCAAGAGGGTGTTGTGCATATTGCAAAGGAAGAATCTAGAACAGAAAGTCCCTCGCTTCTGCTTCACAATGTGAGGCTGTCTGGCTGACCCTGAGACTATGTTCCGTTAATAAGGTTTAGACTGGTACTTATTTTAGGTGTCTCTTTTCCAAATCAAAGACAGCTGGGTAGGTACACAGTGTCCAACAGTCACAGCATGTTTCTATCTAAAAGGTACACACATGCATTAAAATTCCTTCAAGAAGAAATAGCTTTAGTAAGCAAGTTCTCCAATAGTGCACACGTAATTGAACTGAAATAATCTAAATTGTTCATAAATAAATGAAAAGTATATTCTAAATCCATGTTAGAAACTGTACATCGAAGGCAGAAAAGTAAAAAGGAGAAATAAAGAGTAAAAACTATTAGTAGTTGCATGGGAGATTAACTATTTCCTTGGTATGTTTGAGTTGGATCCTTTTGAAAATTGTATCTGTTGCCTGGAAAAGTTTCAATGTGAGGGAGAATCTTGTTGCCTTTAATAAACTATCACAATAAAGAATAGCTAGAAATAGGCTTCTAGAAACGTGCATGAAAATTCCATGCTACCTGAACAGACATTCAGGTAGTGAGTTTGGAAAAATACCAGGCTTTCTGAACCAAACCTACCTCTGAATTGTTGTTCTTAAATACTCTTAAACAGAATCCACACTTACATGTAGTAACATGCAGTTTAAGATGATTTATTTGACAAACTTCTGTGGTTTACACTTCAATATTTCATCAACTGCAAAAATAAGGAAATTCATGGGTCTAATATGTTTTTGAAATAATACTTATGGTTCCTAAAAATTTACATCCATTTAGTTTAAAATGAACACATTTTAAGAAAGTTCAAGTTTATTCAAGCATTGTTTAATCTCACAAAATAGATGAATATTGTTGGGGATATTTCTATTACAAAAGGGTCATCAATTTACCAAAGGACTCAACACTAAGCTATTTTCAAAGTTTTAATTATTTGTTCCAGTCTAAAGAGGGGTTACAACTCATGCTGTTCTCACATAGTCGCCTCTGTGCAACCAGGTGGATGAGAGGAGACATGGAAAGGAGGGAGTTCTGCAAGGATGTGGCACAGACAATGGACAGGTGTCCCTCAGAGAAGACTTCAGAACAACAACCAAGTCAGATACAAAGACACTTAAATTTAAGGGGCGGTTCTCCTCTACATATACGTGCTGTTCTCTCCCCTTAACCACACTCAGTCACACTGGAAAGCATGTCATGGACAGTGAATCCTTCAAAGGGTCTGGGAGAGCCCCTATAGTTACCTTCTGAAACACTGGTTCTCTCTGTTGGAGAAATATTCCAGTGAAGGAAAGGAGGGATTTAAAATATCTGTAAGTATTCAAGTGAGATTAACAGACTTGTCAAGGCAAAAGCAAACTGGTGTTCTTCATGTTCTGAGGCTAAGAAGGTTTTGGCTACAGGATTTCCTTTTCAGCTAGAAAATACACCCTGCTCTTCCAGAGGATGGAAGGCAGCACAGGAGGGTCCTAGCCTCAGAGGGTCAAGCTCGCTGTCCCATCCTGCACCCCCCGGCCCCCCCCCACCCCCCACTTCATTCTGGCCGCGTGGCTAAGTAAAACATTCCAACTTACATTTCCAAAGTTTTTAAGGAATTGTCTTAAGAACAACATAATAGATGAAAATAACTAGAACTTAAAATGCTGTTCTAATTTTAACTCTATTTTTGGTTGTTAAAATCAAAACAAAACCCACAAACACACAGTCTCAGGGTTTTCTCAAACCAATCAGCAGTTCTTTGGCAATGTTAGGGTAAGTAATGTGGCTGCCATGCTAATTAACATTTTATCAGAAATGTAATTAAAGTGTTGAGATAGGAAAATAACTAGAAATGTTAGAGAAGCTCATCTGAAAGAAACTGTCATATGTTAAACCTTGTAAGTCCTAAAAAAAATTTACAGAATGTAAACAGTAAAAGCGTATTATGTGAGGATGTCCTAAGGTAATTTTAATACAAGTTATGAAACAGATTAATAGTCAACTATAGTCTTATTTTGATGGCAAAAAAACCCACAAAGGATACACAGAAATGGCACTGTCCATTAAATAAGTCGAATGAGGTGTTGTTAACCCTGCAAAGTAATCACTCTCCTCTTTTCATGTACCGCATGCCAATTTTATAGATTACCAACAATGACACTACATTCAAAATAAACTTCGATTTTGATAGCTCAGGCAGAAAACGGAATACACAGGAACTAGAGGTTTGATAAGGTTTTTGAGGAAGACTCATCTACGCCAAGTTATTAACGAGTCCTGTTAAAAGGCAGCTATAAAAATACACATTATCACAAGATAGACAGAACTTGAACATCCAGTTAAGGGTGGAGAGAGCCTGGAGTTTCTTAATGTACCCGAGCGCGCTGTAAGCCCGAAGGCGGAAGCATCGAAGAGCGTTCAGTCCCGGCGTATTCGAAGGCTGTAGTGTGCAACCTCTCCCCCCAGCATCCGGAGTGGAGTGCGTCTCAGACGGGGCCGCCGACGGGAGACCCAGCGGGAGCTCCGCGGTTACACCTGGTCTCGC